TTATTATATAAAGATAGAAAACTTAGAGTACTAAGCTTATATACTTTAAAATTTATCTAGAAATTCTATAAAGCTCTAGAATATAGTTATTAAGAAATTAGAAGAATCTTCTAGAGAATTTAGTAGTAATACTATATCGATAAGCTATAAACTCTAGTTAAGAAAGTAGTAACTAAGTATAACGCCTATATTTAGAATAAGTCTATATACTATATACTCTATAGACTTATAGAATAAATATTTATCTTAAAGAAACTATAGAGAATAATATTATAAGACTTTATTATTAAACTTCTACTATTAAGAGATCTAATAATAAGAGTTAAATATAATATAATTCTAGTTATAATAGAAAGACTTACTAAGTATATAATTCTAATACTATATAAGAAGTTAAGTACTACTAAGAAGTTAGTATATACTTTTATCTAGTATATAGTTATAGATTATAGTACTTTAGAAGAAATAGTTTTAGACTAAGATAAACTATTTATATTTAAATTCTAGATAGCTATAACTATCTATATAGAAATAAAGTAAAAGCTATTAATATTATTTTATCTATAAATAAATAGAGATAATAAAAGAATAAACTAAGTAGTTAAAGTATACTTAAGGTATTATATAAACTATAAGTAGAATAATTAGATTATCTTATTACTAATAGTCTAGTTCTTATATAATAGTATAGCTATAAAGATAATATAAGTATTACTATTTAAAGCTAACTTTAGTTATAAGAAAATAGTATTCTAAGAATCTTATAACGTATCTATTAATAGTTAGATAGAAAGAATTCTTATTAATAACCTTTTCTCTCTTTATAAATAACTTATTAAAGAACTTAAGTTTATCTTAAAATAAAATATATTCTACTATAATAGAAAATATAGTTAGAAGTCTATACTAAGAGAGAGAGATAGAGTTTATTTAGTTAGATAAAATATCTAAATAAAATAACTAAGTAATAAACTAGATAATAAGAAACTAGAACTATTTAAAATTAAAGCGTATAAGAGACCTTTAAATTATAAACTAGTTCTACTAAAAAAATATAAATATCTTTCTAGTATTCTATATATCTCTTCTTAAACTAGTACTACTAGAAGCGCTATTAGCTCTAGTTATAGAAATAGAACTAGTAAACCTTAATACTAAGTATAAAGTTAAGAAAATTTTAGACTATAAACTTATTAGAGAAAAACTATATTATCTAATAAAATAGAAGAACTACTTATAATTAAAAAATATATAGAAACTAATAAATAATTTTAACTATACTAAGTAGCTTAAGAAGTTCTACTACTAATATCTAGAGCCTTCTAGAAAGACCTAGAATTAAAATTTAGATTAAGTAGTAATAAATTATAAGTAGAGAAGTTATTAGGCGGAGTTAAGTAGACTAGTAGTTATTCTACTTTTACTTCTCTTTTCTTCTTTTTTCTCTTCTTCTCTTTCTCTTACTACTCTTTTCTCTTTAACTTATTTAACTTATCTAGTAAGTTAAGATTTACTAAAATTATCTTTTATTTCTATTTCTAAAGAAACTTTTACTACTAGTAAATATAAGTATAACGAGCTAGTATCTCTTAGATCTAGGCCTTAGTCTACTTATTCTCTAGAAAGAGTTTCTCTTTTTAAACCTTAATACTTTTCTAGTTATAAACTAAGAGTATTTAATTTATCTTCTTAATATTATATAATTTACTAGTAGATATATAGATACTATAGCGACTATATTTTAGGTCCTAAGAGACTATATACTATTTTTCTATCTTTTTATAGTAAGAGTAAAGTACTATTTTCTTTCTAGTTAAATTAATTTATTTACTAAGAGCTATAATATTAGAATATTTTATTATATAGTTAAGTAGTATATTAGAGAAAAGAGAAGTCTATAGCTTTTAACTAATATATTTCTTAGTTATACTTAAGTATATAGACTCGCTAGTCTAAATAGAGAATAGTATTATAAGTAGCGTTAGCCTTAGTATTATAATACTTCTAAGACTAAAGGTCCTAGAATTAGGCGAGATTATAGAAATTAAGTAATTTCTAGAACTACTATCTAGTAGTTTAATTTAGTTAATATTAGCTATATCTAGGTTAGTAGATAGACCTCGGTTTAGAGTACTATTATATAATAATAAAAGTTTAATAAGTTTACTAGATAAACTTATTAAACTAGCTAGAAGTTTAATAAGTTTAACTAATAAACCTATTAAACTTAAGAAAAGAAAGTTTTATATAATAACTATAATTTCTTTAAATAAAAGCTTTATACTTAACTTATTATAGTAATAGTATATTATCTATTTAATATACTCTTATTATAATAAATAGATCTCTAAATCTATAAGTAATAATCTTATACTTACTTCTTAATATACTAACCTTATAATAACTCTAGTCTACTTTAAGTAGAACTAAATTATTATACTAAGTTAGATTAGTAGTAAAAGTAAAGTTAATATAACTAGTAGTTAGACTAATATTAAGTAGTAAGATAGTTTTCTTACTAGATAAAGCTATTATTAATAATTAAGGTATACTTAGAATAAGTACTTAAAGTATTATAATTTAGATATTCTATATACTATAGATAGAGGTTTTATTAAGTTAGTATATAAGTAAGTATATATAAGATTATTAGGTTATATACTTAAAGGTATATTTATTATAATAAGAGTAAGTTAAGTATAAAGCTTTTATTTAAGAAAATTATAATTATTATATAGAACTTCTCTCTTTTAAGTTTAATAAGTTTACTAGGTAAACTTATAAACTTTTATTATTACGTAATAGTACTCTAAACTAGAGTCTATTTACTAATCTAAATATAGCTAACCTTAACTAAATTAACTTATTAGATAGTAGTTCTAGAAATTACTTAATTTCTATAATCTTATCTAATTCTAGAACTTTTAGTCTTAAGAGTATTATAATACTAAGACTAACGCTACTTATAATACTAAGACTAAGAATTAAAGTAGTTTATTATTTAAAGATAAAGTATAAACTAGTTTAACTAAAAAGTTAAAAGAAAGAAGCTTAAAACTAAAAACTAGAAGTAATAAACTAAAAGTAATAATTACTACTTAGTTATATTTAGCTAGTTAGAGAATATTAATAAATAGAAATATTCTAGTAAGATTTACTTTTACTAAGCTATAAGCTTTATATTAGTAATTTTAGTAGCTATAAATATTATAGTATTTTCTATAATAAATTTAACTAAGATTACTATAAATATAATATAGCTAACTAGAGTTCTTACTTACTTAATTAGAGAAAGTATTAGTCTATATAGTAATATTATATAAAAGAGTATACTATAGCTACTATATAAGTAGTAATTATATTTTTATATTATTATAAAATCTAGATATCTATACTTAATTATTCTATGTATTTAAATAGTAAATAAAGTTTAATAATAGTATTATAAGTTAAATAATTCTATTATAGAGTAAAAAGAGACTCTTTATAAATTTAAGAAGTAGTAATAATATAATAATAACTTTTAAAACTAGTAAATTAAAAGTATTTAAAGAAGATATATAATATAACTAAATAAAAATAAATAGAAATTTTAATATATTTATAGATCTTAAATTACTTAAACTTAATATATATATATATATTATTTTATTATAAAGTATATTTTAGTATATAGAGATAAATATTAAGAACTTTATAATTAATAATTTATTTTATAATTATATACTTATTTCTTAAATTTCTTGTAAGAGTAGATATTTCTCTACTTTATAATACTTCTTACTTTAGACTTAATTAGTAACTTTAACTAAAAGTCTCTAAAAACTATCTTCTTATATACGTAGAATACTTTTATAGTTATATTCGCTATTCTACTTCGAAGTATTCTTATTAGAGATTCTATAGCTAGGTAGACTATCTTTAATCGAAGTATATACTTAAGCTAGAAGCGGTGCGGGGTTAGACGACTCTATAAGAACGCTACTACACCCTTCTTCTTAGTTTATAAGTTACGCTCCTTCCTTCGCGCCAATTAATCTAACGATATCTCTTAGCCCTAGCGCCCGCAATATATCAAAAGTAGTAGAAACCGTTAATGCTGTGGATTCGACCCTTCCCGACATCCCTAATCTCTAAACAATCCATTTCCAGGCTAAGGTACTTGCAGAGATGCAAAATGACAGTAAAAGCAGCTTCCCCCTTGCGACGGTTTTTGCAACAGCCCACGTAGCTACGCCATTCGTGTCAAAAGTTTTGTACTATCCAAATTCAGATTTTGCCATAAAGCTCGCAGCTGTCCTCGTCTCGTCTGCCTTTGCGCTACTAGTAGCATCCAGCTCGCTCATTCCCGAGTGTCTGGGCATCGAGATCACGAATTATGTAGAGAGGGCCGAAGATGCTTCTTGTGGGCAGCGATGTGGAGGTGATTCTGATTGCAAGGATAAATCCTGTCTACTCTGCTCCTGTGGGTATCTAAGTCGACTTTCTATCACTGCACGAGCAATAAATGTAATATTGGGTTTTGACTACCTTTTTAAATAAACAGTGTAAGAGCACCCCTCCACCCAAATATCGTTACGCTGGGAGTTAGAAGGCTTCATTGACCACAAGCATCTCAAGGACTAGATATGCAGGAACGGGGAACTGATGCAGCTTTATTCCTGTCCTAGTCTACTTTACTCTGGATGAGGTGGTAGCGGTCGCGAGTGTAAACAAACCTTGAAATTGAGTGTCTACAAATGATACTGTCGGTTCATCAGAATTCAGGTAATATCGTGTACACGGTACGGGAGAGCCTGAGAGGCTCAGTACTCTCCCTTAACCATCACCGATTTAGACCATATATTGTACCGCATACTACGACGATTATACCGTACCGTGCACACGATATTACCTGAATTCTAATGAACCGACAGATATACATCAGGTTTTGAGATCTCGACAGAAAGACTGCTTTGCATCAACAAGTATGCGTGTATTCGCTAGTCGCGTTTAATGCATTACCCACAAGTATAACTCTCCCAGTCATCAACATCTCCCCCTGCTTTAAATTTCGCAACAAGCGGCCAAGTACAAAGCCTCCTCGTTCTATTCTCTCCATTTGTTGGTCCCCAACTCTTGATTCCTTCAACCGGCTCCGTTTTATTTTCCACCCAATCGACGATCGCAGAAGAAAAGCCATACTGAGCAGGCACATACGGATACTTGGCGACCTGTGCGCCACAATGTCCACCCCCAGGCACCATCACAAGCTTGATAAAATCATTCTCCGCTATAGTAGTCTGAGATCCCATCGTGGCTTTGGTAATAGCTTCGACATGTTGCATTGACCACATGGGAGAGATCATCGGATCTGCCCAGCCGGCATAGACGATCATTTTCTTGCCGCTCTTTCGGAAAGAGGTGAAATTGGTAGTGACTGCGTCGATGAGTGGGCCAACGCGTGAATCCAAGAAGTCCACGTCGGACGCCCAATTGAATGTCGATGGGTCATAGGATAGGTTTCGATATACCAGATTTTGCAGGATGGGAATGGTGATTGCGTTTGACATGGCGCCTTGGACCTGGGGTAACGACCAGCCACCCTCAGAGCCGAGTGCGTATCCGGGGAATATAGATGTACTTAGCGAGTCTGAACGAACTGGTCCTTGATATAAAGCTTTTGCCGCAGAAAGTTGGGAAGGCGTGAGACATGTAATGTTCTCAGCGTGATGAGCGGCTGTACAGGCCAGAGATGAGATGTTGAAGGGGCAGGCGAGAGGATTTTCAATCAAGTTGTCTGCTACACCGTCGATAAGATCACATTCTTTGATGACGCTGGCTTGGATGAAGTCAAGAACCGGTGCTGGAAGAGTCGTTGCGTCGGTCTAGGTGATGTGAGTGCGTAAGCGAGGTAAACACCAGGAAGGGAACCTACCTTCGTCTGTTGTTGCCCCCATAGGAAAGCAAGTGAGAGATGTGTGAACCAATTCGCAGGACATCCAGCGATAATCCCATCAAATAAATCCGGATGGAACTCTGCCAGCGAAAAAGCCTGCGCACCGCCTGTCGAACAACTACGAAAATACGAATGCCGTGGCCGATACCCGTAGTAACTTTCCATCAGTGACTTCGCAGCTGGTGTAAAAATGCTTATTGCGTCGTGCAGCCAGGCTTTTACTTGATCTTCGTCATGGAAATATGGTTGATAGACGCCAGGTGCACCGAGGCTAGTTCCAACACCAGCATCGTTGTCAGAGAACAAATGGCCAGCGTTGCCAGCAGCGACAGCGAAGTTTAGCCCACTGTTCAAATCGTCCATCATGTCATCGTAATTGATGACTCCTGCCTCGCCTCCGTTTCCAAGTGCCATCAATCTCGAGGGGTATTTCAACTCCGGTAACCATAGTGCAAATTGAAGGGAATTACTTCTACCAGCGCCCATCGAAACATTTTTACCATAGCGGATCGAAACGAGAAACTCGCAAAATGAGACTTCGTTGACGATCCCTGAAACATTCAATGTGCCCGTGTCGTAATATGTCACATTAAGAAACGTAGCAGGGAACGCAGCGCTGAACGATGCATGCGCAATTCCAGAGCAATCAGGAAAGACAGAAGATCTAGCCGCGACCAGAGCGCACGAGGCGACTGCAGCCAACGAGATGCGGAGAAGAGTAGACATAATGAGCTCCCCAAGAGAGATGTCCAAAAAAAAACGACACCTTGCTTACTTTATAGGAGGACAATACATATAACCGGACGAGGTATAAAATGTACTATAATGAAGGAAACCCCGGACGAAATTCTTTTGTAGCGAGACAGAGGTACGAGTACGAGCAAGTCTAGAGCGTGTTAATACGCTCTAGAAGTTACTGGGCGGTTACTCATTCGTAAAAGTGTTTCTCCGTTGTGGAAACTTAATTTGCAAATCATGGGTCTGCCAAGCCTCTTTCGCTTCCGGTTAAATAGCTACTGAGCTTTTTTGAGGTAGTAAAGCTTACACTGCAAATTGCCAAGTTGTGCCTAAATTCCTATCTATAACCAGCCTTTAGCCGAAACTTAAGCCTCTATGTTTGTGGCTACAGCACGGCCCGTCCCTAATCCTCCTATTGTTTTCTAAGTAGACTAACTCTTTTTGCTTTTAAAAAAGACTACAAAGAAACCTTTAAGAGAATATTCGATATATTCCATGTATTTAAATAGTAGTAGGAGATTAAACAAGGTATATTACGTCATGTGATGCCTAGTCCTCTATTTCTTGGAAGCTAAAATACAAAGTGTGTGTTTATTTTATATAATTAAAACCCTTCTAAGGATTTACTCATTTCTCAAGATATACAGCTACTGGGAAACAAGCACATTCTTCTAGAACAGAGCTCTTTCATGGGAAGTTTAAAAATTGTAACATCAGTTACTAAAATAATACCAGAAGCTGTGTAAATCAATCTATCTGGATTCGGGTAGTCTCGTTTTCCACCCACAAACATTCGAGACCAAACAGAGTGTACGGGATTTCACCGAAAGATGAGCAAAAACTTATGGTGACGGAGAAGCCACGACAAATGCCATCAAGACATATATGATGCGTCGGAACCGGCGAGATTGACCTTGGAAGACGCGCAGGTACAATGCGAGCACCGACTAAGGCAGAATCTGATTCTGCATTTCGTAGACTCTGACATGCGTGGTGTAGTGCGAGAGAAGACAGCGAGGTAGAAATCTTGGAAGTACTCCCCATATTGGTCTGCGTTTGTTTGCAGCAACGGATGGTAAAGAGGACAAAGGAGAGGGTGGATGATTGGGTTCTAGAGAGGGAATTTACCCGCTACGAGGGACTGGGGAAAGCAGGTGGCCATTTGTTGCACGACAGGCAGGCTCTTTCAAGAAACACGAGATCTGTCGCCTTGTTTGTTATTACGAGAACATCGCACAAACGAACCAATGGCGTCCTGCTTCTTGATGAATCAATTGACAGCGGGCTCGAAGAGTCAGGGCAAGATTTCAAACCGCTTCACTCTGGCGAAGAAGGCGATGTAGCGCTGAGTACCTGATTACGGTTCAGAACAAGCAATTCCCGAATTGGATCGGCTTTTTGTCGCTGGTCAGAAGTTGTTTGTTTTGGCGATTGATTTCAAGAATAAAGATATAGTCGTCGTCGAAATATTGTAATCGCCCATGTTCATTTTCCTCTAATGACAGAAGCAAGAGCATTCCTCACTTGGCTCGGCTTTATCTTCATCTTCTGAGAATTTTCAGTCCACACTTCCTACTCAGCCATGAGCGAGATGCCAGAATGCACCACACGTCAAGATACACCAACCGTCACACCCTCATTCGTGTACTACACATCTGAACAAAGAGCTCATTCTGCAGCTCCTACGCTGCGACAACCTCCACGATGTACATAGCCAAGGGAACCTGCAGATCAAACCCAGTATCCCAGAGTCAACTCGTCAGCCTACTAAAGCGATTTGGCGCGACTAATTGTCATTAGCGACATCGCGGAGAGTAGCCGGAAGATATAAACAATTATCAGTCATCAATTCAGCGTGCGGAGGCTCAGCGTATCGGCGTCATGGAAAGCGAAAACAAATAATTGAAATTCTACAATTCAACAAGGCCCCGAAAGAATCCGAATAAATCACGGGCTTCATGTTTAGGATCCACACAATCACGAAGTCGCACAATCGAGAAAAACCGTGTTCGTTCACCGCTAATAAAACATAGACATACTTGTAGCTCTATCTGGACTGGTTAGCACAATGATGGTTGAAGTAGAAGATCAATTATTGGCCGGGATCTGGAAGAGCGACTTTATAACGTGTTTGTGCTGGCACGTTGAGTGGGATCATCCATTTTTACTTGGCATGTTGCATCGTGGTGAAGATTTGCCACCTGTCCGACCTGAGAAGTGGCGAGCACCGTCTTGGAGCTGGGCATCAGTCAAGCTTCCTGTATTTAATGTCAAGATGTCAAATCCTCGAATGTCCCATTCGATCTTAGCAAGTATTGTGGAGGTAAAAGTAGATGCTACTCCCACAGGCGCCCTCAAACACGCTTATCTACGGCTTCGGGGGTCATTATACACGGCAGAATATCTTGAAAGCGACGACTTGCCTATTGATGGTTACCAAACGACTTGGCTTCAACTGCTTCCGAACACGAAAATGAGAACTATAGTACACCTTGATGAGCATTCACGTTTTGGACCAGATATGATCAGAAGGCTTCATTTGATGCCCCTAATTGTCCGGCATTGTCCAGAGGAGGTGTCTATAACATATGGCCTATTGCTTGAGCCCACTGGAATTCTTATGGGCATTTTTAAGCGTTGCGGATATTTTGTAGTATCAGATTATGTTCTCCCGGATCGCATGTTTCATGGTACACGAAACGCTGAGTGGATTGAATATGAATCATTTAATGCTGAAAGCGGTCAATACACGATTTGTATCTTGTAGTAGCAGATGTAGACTCCTGTATTTTAAAGTATACAATCTATTTAAAGTGCTATATTTTACTATAATACTAAGATTTAAAGTAGAAACCTTAAGTTTCTCTTTCGAGAATATACAGTAAGAGTTAGGGCTATAGCTTCTCTATACTCTAAGTAAGATTAGCTCTCTACCTTAGATTTTACCTTTTTATTTTAGAATCTTCTTAAAAATTATACTTTTACTTAATTAACTCTAGAATTCCAATTGTTTTGAGGATAGGGGAGAGGTAGTAGGAAACAAGACCATTGCCTGAGCACTACGAGAATACGGCAGTGAGAATGATGAGAATGCAGCGCTTGCGGTTTCCGGGCGTTCGAACCATCTCTGCCCAATCATTGCTCGTAGCAGCTTGTTTCTCGAGACGTAAAGTTTCCCGGATCTCATAGTACTCGAAGCTAACAAAAGAATCCTGAACACCATTGCCGTGGTACTTGGTCAGGATACTCAATGCCTCATCATCTCGTCCTTTGCTAATGAGCCAACGTGGGGATTCTGGGACAATGTAAACCACTACCAGCTCAATACCAGGCATGAGGTATTGGAGTCCGGTGGGCAATCGCCATTGAATGTGTCCCGTGAGAGTAGTGAGTGTGCCATAAGTTGTCCATGCTACAACTATGGCGCCCTTCCGTAAGTCAGTGGAGAATCAGAAGAGACTAAAAGCGTTGGCTTTACGTACTAGGTACCAAAGTGTGTTGTGTATAGTGGTTACCTTACCACGATGTTTAGGGTGTGCTAATTCCGTGATCAGGAGTGGGCAGGTCGCATTAGAAATGCTTGACCCAAATCCGATGAGGAAGCGACCGGCGAGATACATTGGGTCAGGGTTTGAGGCTGGAGGGAAGGATTGAAGGAGAGCACCAAGCAAAATGAACGAGGCATCCGATAGCTGTCCCATGTCTTCGTCCAAAACCATCTGCAAGGTACGGGACGACTGGCAGAACAGCCAAACCGCCAATTATTAGGCATGGCACCGAATATGCCAAGCCGAGAGCCAACAGGGCTGTCGAAGTCTGGCCAAAATTAGTTTAGACGTTCTAGGACAAATATCGTACCGCGATGCTTTTCTTACACGACTGCCAGGTATTCATTGTTTAAAGTCCATTCAGAACATTCCATCATACCCGGGAGTTGTAGAGCCGATGAAGAGGAAGGGTAGTATCAGGTACAGTTTCCGAAATTGGGTTTGCTTATACCAAAGGATGTCATCCGTTGAAGGGGGTTCTGAATCCAAGGTGTTTGGACTCTCCTGCACAAGTGTTGTTGTCTCCATCTTTCCGGAATCCATATTGACTTATCGAAGATAGGGAAAGTCTTGACAGTGAATTAGAAATCTTTGCCTCTGTGATGTTCTGATCTTTTGGTCTGAGTGTGATGGATACGTGGCTGGCTTATGTATTCTACAATACGCACTAAATGCCAATCTCTTGGGCCTTGAACTTGTTCTAGAACTACTAGAAAGATGTATATCACATTTTCACAAGATGGCCAATAGAATGAATGAGGTGCAATAAATCCGAGAATTATGCGAGAAGCTGAAATATTTATTTTGTCCTAGTGTGCGCATAATAGTGAGGGCGAACGATGCTCCTTTCCGAAAAACGTTGCAACATACTTTGTACGAGGGCCGAAATCGTGAGTACTGCATGGTGCGTTAAACAAGACACTCAAGGAAGGAAAAGCAAGTACGGACTTGTGTACTGCAAACTGTACCTTCGCACGGAGAGCACGGTCCAGACTCCAAAGTCTGGGGATTACATGGGGCAGCCTGAAAAAGCTCTTTTGAAGTTAAAGAGAGCCACAAAACTACCAGTAGGAGAACTGAAAATAACAGTGGAGTAGAAAAGATCCACTAAGAGCCCACTCTCGTACATTATGCCGGATCAGCTTACCCCACGGACCCAACCCCGCCTTTGAGTTAGTGGCTGCTCACATCTTCGTATATATTCCGAAGATTTTCCTTCTTTCGCTCATTATCGTTTCCCGTTACAGAGTATGGACCACATATTAGCCGTTTCGCCAGAAGATTCGAGCAACCTGAAGCCGTAGTCGCCAGCTCCACCACATTAGTAATTGCGAACTTTGTCCACTACTTACCAGCACGAAACTTCACAAGAAGTTGACCCAGTGAACTCAAGTCGACCCACCACGAGGAAAGCGTGTCGGCGATCTCGAAATGCCTGTGACGCGTGCCGGACACGGAAGGTTAAGGCAAGTACCCAATAAAGAGAGACTTCGGAGACCTTGATCATTTTGACTGGGTCAATCGAAGTACTTCTGATTGATTACATGCGCTAAATCAGCAATAGTGCATTCATATCGGCCAAAAATGTGAGACATGCATGGAGGTGCAGGTACCATGTACTCACAACAGACCCCGGAAGAAGAGGGGTCCCCGGAATCGGTATGTTTAGAAGGAGGCAAATAGCGAGTCATTGTTAATCATTGTTCAGATATGTACTGGCTTTAGCGGAGGCCGGCATGGTGTCTTCACGAGGAGATGATTTTCCCTCTCCGGCCAGCACTTCTACTCTAGCAGCTGTAGTGTCGCACTCTTTCTCCATAATCGTTTCGTCAATACTCGATAAAATTGCTCCTACTACTGTCATCAGACACATCATAGATGACTGGTTCGACGTCATTCACTCCGTCTATCCTATTCACTATCACGCTATTTTTTTGACGCGATTGCAAAATAGTGACACCACACGCGATCCGGTACGTATGTGCAATGCAGAAAATACTGTCTTAAACATTCTTGTTATTATCCACTGCGTACTATTACACACAAAATCCTAGCAGTAACGAAGATAACTGTCTAATTTCAAGTCGTGTTTATTTAGGGTTTTCTAGCACTTGACCTCCCCCGACAAATGTTTGGCTCAATTACGACTCCAGCGCGCGTCTCGACATCAGGGGCCTGTCTCCAATTATCGGTGGCGGGTCCAAGCCAGGCGATTATCCTTCGAGGGGAGCCGTACCCCACGCTTTTGACATCTGGAAATACAACACCTCTTCATTCGACTTTATCGCACCCGACCTGTATTTTAATGACCATGAGAAGGTGTGTGAGAAGTACCAGCATGGCGACCAGCCACTGTTCATTCCTGAGCAGAGACACGATGATCAAGGTGCCCGACGGGTCTGGCTCGCGATCGGAACATATTTGGGAATAGGCACATCACCATTCGGCATAGATTCGCTTGAAGCGGAAGAATCTCCTATTACCAAACATTATAGATTGCTCAACTCAATGAGTGAGCACATTCTGGATGTACAAGCCAACCGGCCAGAGGATATCATGGGCTTCTTCTCTGATGAGCTTGAAATTATAGTCGATGAGCCGAAATGGGGAAGCACTTTCGGCGAGTTCAAAGTGACCGTCGAGCGTTCCTTCGTCTGTGGTAAACTAAGTCTAGGTGCAGGGATACTAATTCACCAAGGCGATGGGAAACTCCTTTTGCTAGGCTAGGGGTTCCAGGCCCTTTCCAAGAGTGTAGATCCCAAAGCGACTTTCACGGGAATCTTGTGTGCGCAGGAGAAAGAGATTGTAAATAAAGAGGGTTTGCTCAAGACGGGTAGAGTTTTAAACGGCGATGAGACTCGGAGCGGTGTATTTGTGATTATGCCGAGCGAGGCACTAGATTATGCTGGGTTCCCAATTGCGGTTACAGTTTCTTGTAGAACTATGATCGCAGAGTGTACTGCATATTCTGTTTTTGAAGAAGCAGACGATTTTTAAATAGCTATAAGTCTATTTAGATAAGTTGTAGATATTAGCTTGTTCTAGTCGTACACTTGTCAAAAGGGTATATCACTTTACAAAATAGCTACTTGGATTTATATTTAATTTATTTCCAACAAAGCACAATGTTTGAGTAGACTAAAGCTTCAATATTATCTCAACATTGGCCTTTCCCGTTCAGATTACTTTATTTCCTCTCCTTGCTTAATCTTAAGATATTCTCAACAAGCTGATATAGACTTGCGCCTCCTATACTTTTATCTAGACATTTATGTTTCTATCGTCAAATGCGTACTAGTCGTACAGTCAAATTGTGAATGATAGAGTAAAACTCAGCCCTCTAATCGCAGCCAGATTCGACGACCTATACACACTAGTCGGATTTGTGTCTAGATATCCTATTATGAAATGATTCCAATATCGGCATTTCGTTATCGTACGATGTGTCGGATTACTTTCACGAAATCTGCAATTCAAAAACTTTGCCATCTCGTATCGATATAGGTAAGACTTATGTGCCTCTTCACACGGATTTTGCATTCGTCCGTGGCATTATAAGGTCTCCTTCGCAGCATGCGATCTTTCTCCATTGACTTCAAATTCCTAATTAAACATGAAATTCTTTACTCTATTCCTCTTAGCGTATGCCATGTTGAAGTCCTATGCTGGGGTGAACGGCGAACGGCGAAACCTTCGAGTATAACATCACCGAAGACAGCTATTTCTATAGCCAATCGCCCTCCTCTCTTCCGTCACGTGGGTAATTATCAATCCAACATTCGTACCACTAAATATGAATAGCGGAAATGCCGGGGCGTCTTCCTGGCAGAAGACCCATAAAGCAGTAGCAATGGTATCCAAAATGACACTCGAAGAGCGCACAAATATTATAGTAGGAAATCCACGCATCAATGGCTGCTTCGGTATCATAGGTACTGTGCCCCGTCTCGGATGGAATGGGCTTTGTCTCTTAGACGCAGGTCAAGGGTAAAGATCAACAAACTTTGTCAATGCTTAAGCTTCTGGAATTCATGTTGGCGCGAGTTGGAACAAAGACTCAGCCTTTCGCCGTGCCACACACATGTCCGCAGAGTTCCGAAGGAAAGGAGTCAACGTAATGCTAGGTCCAGTGGTCGGAGCACTTGGAAGAGTAGCCCAAGGCGGCAGGAATTGGGAAGGCTTCAGTAATGATCGTGAGTGATTTAGGGACCTTGCCTCGAACACCTGTTGATACTAAGTGAACCTTGTGTAGCAGATCTTGCTAGTAGTCTCGCGTATGATATGGTCAAGGGCATTCAGGGTACTGGCGTCATCGCATCAGTGAAACATTTCATTGCCAATGAGCAAGAAACAAATCGCAATGCTATGTGAGTTTTGTTCTTAGTCAACGGTTAAAAGCGTTGTGTATCCTAGCGAACTAGAGAAGCAAGAAAGGGGCTTGCTTTTGAACACACAATGCATATCTACTAACACGCGCAACGGTAGCAAGTCAGGTGCTGCCTCGGGAGGAATTGGCGGTGCCGATGGGCTGCCATCATTTGGCCTTTCGAATTACAGTCAAACCATTGAATTACTCTCGACTAATATTAATAATAAAACGATGTACGAGCTATACCTGTGGCCCTTTGTTAATACTATTTATACGGGTACTACATCTGTTATATATTCTTAGTAGAGAATTAATATTAGTTATAGTTATTGTAACTAGAATACTTAGAATAGAATCTTTCTATATAAATAGTAGTATATATTTAAATTATAAGATATTAATATATTTTACTTATAGTAGTTAAAATCTAATTATTTACTTAAAAATATAAAGTAGTAAAATCTTAAGACTCTTAAATATAAATATTTATAAAAGTTACTATTTATTTAATAATTACAAAAGAGTAGTAGAGTTTAAATAAAGTAATTAAGTTATTAGAGAAGTAATTCTTAAGAAAGTAGATCTAGAAGTCTTTTTTAATAACTTTAAAAGGTTTAAAAAGTATAACGATATATTTACTCTATATATAGTAGACTAGAGTTTTGTCGGGTTAGTATATAAATAAGTATATATAAGATTATTAGGTTATATACTTAGAGGTATATTTATTATAATAAGTATAAGTTAAATAGATAATATACTATTACTATAGTAAGTTAAGTATAAAGCTTCTATCTAAGGAAATTATAATTATTATATAGAACCTCTATACTTCTAGAAGCTAGAAGTTAGAATCTTACTACAGTCTAGAGTCTTCTACTCTATAGAGTCTAGAGTCCTCTAAAACTATAGACTTCTATTAAGCCTAGACTCTATTACGTAACTCTATCTAAAACTAAGGTCTTTCTACTAATTTAAATATTACTACTATTAACTAATTAAAGCTATTAGACGGCGGTCCTAGAAACTACTTAGTTTCTATAACTTCGGCTAATTCTAGGACTCTTAGTCCTAGAAGTATACTAATACCTAGGACGACACTACTTATAATAAAAAGACTACTAGTCTTTAGAATTAGCTTTACTTTAGAATATTATATACTTATAACAATTCTAATGTCCTATATACTATAGACAGAGGTTTCGTCGGGTTAGTATATAAGTAAGTACGCACAAGATTATTAGGTTATATACTCGAAGGTATATTCGTTATAATAAGAGTAAGTTAAACAGATAATATACTATTACTATAGTAAGTTAAGTACGAAGCTCCTATCTAAGGAAATCTTAATTATTATATAGAACTTCCTTTCCTTAAGTTCGATAGGTTCGCTAGTCGAACTCGTCGAACTCCTAGCCGGTTCGATAGGTTCGCCTAGCGAACTTGTCGAACTTCTATTATCACGTAACGGCACCCTAAACCGGGGCCTATCCGCTAACATAATCATTACTAATATTAACTAAATTAAGCCATTAGACGGCGATCCCAGGAACTACTCGATTCCCGTGACCTCGCCTAATCCCAGGACCTTTGGTCCTAGGAGTATCACGACGCCGAGGCCGACGCTGCTCGTGACAATACTCTTATTTATAGAATTATATTTTATATATTTAAATATTACTTTAGTTAGTAATTAATTTAATTTATAATATTTAAGTATAATTCTAGTTATTTTAAGATTTTTAACGATTTTGATATTTCTACCCCTGACCGGGGTAGCATGGGCCACAAAAAATACGTCACCTATAGTAGCTAAACGGACAATCTTAAGTCCGACTACTATAAAAGTTTGTTCGGACCACGACCCTTTCCCTTTAACGAAGTCGTATTTAGTACCTCCAAACGCAAATAGCTGGACGTATAACGAGGATCTAGCACGAGTGCTTGAGAACCATGGCTCCAGGTTTGGCATACCGCCACGACGGACAACTACCTAGAAAGAAACTGCGCAAAGGAACTCACAGCTGTCTGCCTTGTCGGAATCGCAAAGCTCGTTGCAAATATAGTGCAGGTGATCAAGCATGTGAAGGATGCCTTTCCCGAAATCTGAATTGTGTCGATCAGCAATCCGGAGACACATTGGCTGAAGTTGGGAGGAAGAGAACGACAAGCCAGAAAAGGGATGCAGAACTTGAAGTCCTTGTCGGCCAGGTACTGCAGAGACTGACAGAAAAAGACGAGGATACTGGTTGTACAAAGGAAGAGCAGCGTGCGATTGCGGCTCTTGCGAAGGTGCAGGATGGGTTGACAAGTGGTACAGCTTCTGCTAACAGCAAGATGTCTGCTGAGCTTTTGTTATCGGAAGCGAGGTCGAAGGAATATCCTGTTACGGATTACGACAGCCCACTCCCCAAGGGCCCTGTGATGACCTTTATCGATGGTCGTTTTCAACTTCTCAGTGAAGTGGGAAGCGCCTTCGTACTTTCATCCGCCGAAGAAGGCAAGGCTGATTGTATTCAAGCTTCAGCAACCACGGAGCTGAGAGCACTTATACCAAGCTCATCTGACCTCAAGTTGATCCTTGGAGCTGGCCAGTCAGGCTGGAGGATATGGCAAAAAGCATTCCCTGACGTAGCATGGGACGACCTTGACAGTACTGGAAATCCAAAAGCGGACAGCATCCTTCTTCGAATTCTCCAAGCAGCGCAGTCTCCAATCCCCACTAATATCGCGAAACTTGTTCTGTGCATTTCGCTGAATATCCAGCAACTTCCTCTAGAGACAAACTGGAGTCTGGCACGTCTGCCAACATCCTCATCAGAATTGGAAAAGCACTATCTTAATCCGGTAGAAAGCTTTCTAGCATCTGACGAAAACTCCGCCTGTACTGTCGAAGGGTTAGAATGTATGATGGTCCAAACGCGGTTATACATCAACATCGGCAAGCCACTCAAAGCCTGGCTGGTTTTTCGACGCGCTGTCAGTATCGCTCATCTCCTGGGACTACATCGCCAATCTGCCACTTCAAGCGATCGTATATCGACTCGCAAACGTGGTTTATGGCTCCAGATCTGGCAAGGAGAGCGATATTTATCACTTATTTTTGGATTATCTCACTCAGTTTCGGATGAGCAGTTTGATTTGGAGAGCTATGAGAGTGAGCTACGTACGAAACCTTGTGGTGAGCAATTATTGCTTCGGATCAGCGTCATTGCCGGATGCATCAGCCAACGAGATCACAATATCACAACAAGCAATAGAGCTCCAGACCCTCAAATTACTCTTCTCATAGAGCAGAAACTCGAAACAGCCAGGATGTCAATGCCTGAAGGTTGGTGGGAGACAATGCCAAACTCTCAGATGTCACTAGAAGCTATCACAGACATGACCGCCGCTAAATTCGCGTTCTCGAACGTGAAAAAGCTACTTTATCTCCCCTTTGTGCTGCACGTAGGCACACATCCTTGCTATGAACGTAGCAGAACGGCGATCTTGGATGCGTCTAGAGAGATGATTATGCTTTATCTTGTTATGCGGGATGATGACAGGCCTTTGTTTCATGTTTGTTACGTTGCTGATTTTCAAGTTTTTACTGCTGCTTTGGTTCTTGTTTTGGATCTTCTCGATTATGGGAGACCGTTTGAGAGGTTGGAGGGCGGACAGAGAGATGGCGATTGGAGGATCATAAATAATATTACTGAGTGTTTCACACGGATTGCCTCCAAGTGGCATAACAATGTTGCTGCGCAGGCTGCGAAGATCTTGGAGGATTTAGTGAACTTCAATGACGCTCAGAGTGGTGATGATATATACGAAGCGTCGATTCCGTACTTTGGCAAGATTTCAATCAAGAAGAAGCTTCAGTCGAGGGGGCATTTGTTATCTTCTCTCAACACGGAAGCTTTGCCGATCGCGCAGGAACACACGTCGTTGTGGGACACGGCGGGGGACAGTCTTGTCTTATTCGACAGCTGTGTCGTACCACTTGAAGACCCGTCAGGGTTGGATTGGATGGCAGATATAAATTTCGATCTTTGTGACGGGTGGGATACATTATCTCATTGTGCTCTACTAGGCTGATAGAACATGACCGCGCTATAATGTATGCCAGCTCTGTTATGATTCTATTGACAAGCTGACCAATCTGTCTGTGGCAGATTTATTTATGGGATGGTTTTTACGCAATGTGCAAGCATTAGAGGCCATTGCTAGCGAAAATTAGAGGGGTACTATATTCATAATCATTTGGGGTGCCAGTCGGGACAAAGAATCATGAGTGGTGGTTGGCCCGGTCGAATTGATAAAATCGAAGATTCGTCCGCCACTACCACTCCCTCAGCCGACCTTAAGTACTCACATATTTCTCACCTCAACAACCAACAGTATCATCCAAACTCAAACTCCAATTTTCATTTTATAATCCCCTTCTCTACTTCTTCCTCAGAATAATCCTCCCATAAAAATGAAGCCTAACCTCCTTCCCTTCATCCCCTCAAAACTGTTCGGCGTCCCTCAACCAACCCAACTCTTCACCGGCAAAACAATCCTTATCACAGGCGCCTCCACTGGTCTCGGTTTGGAAGCCGCTTTTAAATTCGCATCCTTGGACGCCGCCAAAATTATCCTTGGGGTTCGAAACATTTCGAAAGGCAATCTTGCAGTCCGCGCCATCGAAGATCGTACCAAACGCTCCGGCGTCGCAGAATTCTGGGAACTGGATATGAAATCTTACGCCAGTATTCAGACCTTTGCCAAGCGTGCGGAGGGGCTGGAGAGATTGGATGTTGTGGTGCTAAATGCGGGCGTTGCGCCGAAAAACTATACCATAGGAGAGGAAGGCTGGGAGTCAGCGCTGCAGGTGAACGTGGTTGGAACAGCTTTGTTGAGTTTGTTGTTGTTGCCAAAGCTGAAGACTGCTGTGTCTGGAGAAGAGCTGGCGCATTTGATCATTGTCACCTCCGAAGCACATCGCTGGCTTGAACCGAGTGATTTGCCTGATCCTACCAAATATGGCGGTAGTATCCTACACGCTGTTAATGCATTGCCTGATCATATGGAGCAATGGGATGGCTTGCTGCAGAATGCAAGGTCGAAATTATTCGCTATGTATATCACGCAAGCTATCGCAGCCCTGGTAGAGGATGAGAATGGAAATCCGGAGGTTATTGTGACGGCTACTTGTCCGGGGGCTTGTCGATCAGAGCTGATGAGGGATATGAAGAGTGATTGGGCCGGGAGGATTGGAATGGGGATCTATGAGGGTCTGTTTTGCAAGAGTAGTGAGGAGGGGGCGAGGACTTATGTTTTGGCTGTGGCTGTGGGATTGGAGGGGCATGGGGGTTGGTTTAGGGTTAAAGAGATTGCAATGTAAGTCACCGATCTGGTGGAGGAAGGGGCAAAGAGTTGTTTGGCGTTAGTTGTGACTGTGATTATTGCTGACCGTTTCATACAGGCCCGGGACACTCGTGACAAGTGAGGAGGGGAAGATACTCCAGCAAAGCGTGTGGATAGAAATTATCGAGGAATTGAGTGGAAAAGTACCTGCTGTGAAGTATTTGGTTGGAAAGAAATCATGAAAGCGTTCGGTACGATGAAAATGAGACAAAATAGGCAGCCTATATGATGAATATCTAAATAGAAATAGAGCTATACCTTATAAAAGCAGTTTCTAGTGTAGGAGTTAACGAAGTTGAAGAGGGTTGAGTCTTTCCGATATCTAGTGGTAACTACAATGCCATTTGAACAGAGTCATTCGTTCTGCATAAACATAAATTTGAAAAAAATTCAATCGGATTCTTTCCTCCACACTATTGACTAGAATGTATTCAAGAATCAAGCAAGACTAACTTTCATGAATATGGGTGCCGTTTGCAAGAGTCAACTTTAGAACATGATGGGAATATATAACTTAAAATAGAGATCGCCATGTTACCCCACATGCAAGCTGTCGCCACTTCGAAGGTAGGTCGTCGCCGTTTCCACTTTACTGTTTGGCCACAGTACACGTTTAATTAAAGGGGCCGCAAGGCTATCTATGGTATGGGTGGTGGCTTTGATCTGAGTCATGTAGTATTCGGTAAAGTCTCCAGGACCTTCTGCTTGTGTGGGGTGAGTTGTGTGCATCTTTAGTTGGCCGTCATGATAAGTTGAAGTAATTGTGTAGGCATTACCGTCGTAGAAGTAATGTTGTACAGTACGATCTCAATCTACGGAAAAGAAAAGGGAAGTCCCTACGCATACACAATTCTTGTTCTGCAAACTACTTTCTGCCTGTGTCTCTTGATCGGCACTAGAACTCAAGGACGAGTGTGTTAAGGATGTGGATCTTAGAGCGATACCTATGCCGGATATTGAATATAAATCGGCAGTCACAGGTGACCTGAAAAGCTACCTTAATATTTTGAGAGAAGGATATTTGTAGAAGCTTATGAAAGAATAAGAACTGTTCTCTAGAGCTACTTTTCTTTTAAGATAGATGTTTGTCTAACTATTTACAATTCCACATTTTCAAGCCGCTTCGTCTAATAAATTGCTAAGCGATCGAGAAATCCGATTTTGATGTAAGCTATATTGACGTCGTTGTCGCATATTGGCCTCACTAAGTATTTCGGAAGTTGCTAATCACTGTAATAACCTCTAAAGGGGAGGTAGAAGGAAGTAGTAACCGAATTGGAGCTATTGAGTAGAAAATTATGTACAAGATTCCAACATTCGTTAATTTCAAGTGCTAATGCATTTTTACAAGGTTCTATTTCTGGGATGTCGTAATGTGACAGCTCGCGTGGAAATGTAGAAAAGACGTCAAAACGTGCTTTAAATTACTATGTGTCTCGCTTCTCGCACTTTCCAGGTTGGTTCTATATTCGCTTCGCGGCATTCAAGCGATCAATTTCCTGGTAGAGCGTAGCGGAAATGATGAAGTCAAGACTGTAGGCGAACTAGACATTGAGTCAGCAGAAGTTAGAAAGACTAAAACTTACAGATTAAAGCTTCTGAGGTTCTTCCTCGTTGACAGATGGTTTACTGTAACATTACGCGTCACAGTATCTAGTTCCACTACTTTGACAAACCTCAGCCTAAGCCCGATGCCTCAACTGCCAATTCCGAAGCGAAAGAGAATGCCTCGGCGCACACGACATTCTCCGTCTGGAAGCCGGAATGTGTCTCTACGGCCACGATCTCGACGAGAACACCACCCAAATCAATTACCAAACTTGAGGAATTTTGCAAAGAGTATTCGGCATCAATGACTCAAGAAGGAGTATGAATTGTAGCGACGGGTGGCGTTCAGTGCTCCATTGTTGATTTCTGCGATTATTGGGGATTTAGATTTACGGCAGCTAATGTCGAGGATGCGGGCAAGCCATCGTAGAAGTCTTCTCGAAAGCCATTACATTGTCCTACAGTTCTGCAAAGCAACCGCCTATCTCCAACATATGATCCTCTGGCAGTTCTGGAGCAGGATAATGCAATTATACTCTTTGAGTTATTTGCATCTTTCAAAGTGGGTCCACGCCTCATCCTGGCTTGATTTTTTGCATTAATGACATTCCGAATTTTGCCGTCTTTGGCATAGAATTACTAAGTTTCTCGGCAAACCCGAACAGAGACTAGAGTAACTTCGACATCCTAATTGAGGCCTTTATACACGGCAGCTTACAAGTATCTAGAGAACATCCCGGCGGCGGCGGATGAAGTATAAGGGTAGTTTCTAATCTTTTGCCAAAGGTCGGGAAAGAAGTAGGAACCTCGGGTGGCGTGGCCAGTCCATCCAAACAGGGAACATCATCTCCTGGTGTCGCGGGTGAGGGCTCATTTTCCGAAGAGATGGAAGAAGTCTCGAATATGTCTAATGGCGACGCTACCAAGAAACGGAAGAAGGTTCTAGATTAAGCTTTTACTATAGTAGCGTTCTAGGATGTTTAAAGCTAGTTCGTTGTATAAGCGTGCTAGAGTGTTCACCGGATCTCTTATCTATTTCATAGTAGGAAGAACTTACATGTTTCTACGTAAAGGATGTTCTGATATATATACTCGAAGGCTTTCTGCTAACTCTTCCGTTGACAGCTTCGGTGAATTACTTCTCAATAGACTCGGAATATTCGCGCATTCGCTTTTCCTTCTCTTGGCTAGATGATTAGGGCATCGTATCGTTCTGCGAACTGATTCGAAAGTGGTGTTACAGGTGCTATATAAACTGTGAATCTATTTTTGATGTAGGAATCAAAACTTGCGCTAAGGGAAGAAAGAGATAGTAAGGGCAGGACTACTCGTTGGCAGTTCACTGTGGTTCACTGCAGGTGCGGTTCGAGATTTCATTACGTAATCACCATCACGTTGTACCACGTGATTTTAAGGTGGAGCGCAACTTTGCTGCCTCAATCGAGTTACTTCCACAAGTATAGTGGAACGTTTTGTAATCTAGCATATCTGCGGTTTAATCATCGTAATAAACATTACAGTAGGTTCAAGTAATTAATACTCGGTGATGCTTAATGTTTTTGTCAAAGGCCCACGAGTGGTGGGTCTGTTCGACGCTCCCCGCTATGGTTTCCAGGCCAACCCATGTTCATTGGGCATCACGATAAGCACGATAACAACGAACAGAGCCACGGCTTACAGCTCTCGTGAACATCTATCATCTACCTGTGCGCTAACATGTCTGCCTTCACATCTATCGAAATTCGAGATACTGCGACTCTCCGTCCTAGCCCCCTTCCCGCGCATTACGAGTTTCTCCAAGCACCAAGTCCACGGCGGAAATATCGAATCAATTTCCGGCATCCAGCATATGCGCATAATGACAACCTCCTCTTCACTCTGTATGCTTGGGATCATGCTGATGGTGGAATTCACCATGGTTTAGCACACTGTGCTTGTTCAATCTTCGCAGACAATCGCATCGATGGTTACTTCAGCAGAACCTGCAATGATGAACATGGCGAGCGCATCGATGCTGCTTGGGACGATATCCTACCAGCCGCAGACGCAGACTATTACTTCTATGTTCCCTACCCTTCTGGTATATTGAATACCATCCCTCTCCAGAATGATACTTGCTGATTTGGTAATTCCACTCTGCAGAATCTCCATCACCTCCTCCCAACGAGTCCCGAACACCCTACCGCTGGCATATCGTGACGAACTTTCAGGACTGGCAATTTCCACAAGTTGCACATGAGGTTTTTACTCGCTGTGCCGGCTCCCAGGACACCGTTACAAATACTTCTGCGCAGTCAACCTTGACAGCAGCGATACGCCAGCGCGACCTCACTTGTCGAGTGACAGCATTCGAAAGTGGCACCGAAGTTGCACATTTGGTTCCCGAACACGAAAGACAATGGTTTTTGACGAATTCTATGACAATGTGGAATAACGACTTGACATTGGACTCTGAAAACCTACTGAGAGACCTCAGCAATGCAGTCCTTCTTCGATCGGATCTGCATACGGCCTTCGATCAGCGCAAATTCGTCTTCTTTCCCAAGGGCCCCGACGACCTTGTCGTGCATATGCTGGAACCAACCACCGATATTGGGCAATTATACCACAACACGCGTGTCAGCATTCCCCAATGCAGTTTGGAATTCTTGTATTCGAGGTTCGCGTGGGCCATATTTCCTTCCCTTTCGGGATTTCTGAGCAGACCAGGCAGAAGTCGACTCGTCGTTCGACTGAGGGGTAATGCGGGCGAGCGAGTGGTAGAGGAGGTCAACACAAATGCGCTTTCACTGGCAAAGAGAGCGACGGCTTCCCGTAGCATAAGCCCTACAAAACGATCTAGAGCTGTGGCTGATCTGGATGAATGTGATATTGAGTACAATGAAGCCAAGCGCAACCGAACCTACCAAATTTCGAACACTCTGCCTTCGTTCAACTCTACTCTGCCAACACTTGACGAAGATAATGACAATCAGCCAAAAATTCCGGGCTCTGAGATTGAAACAGCGAATAATCCACACTCTCCTACCAGCTTTGAGATCAGTGAATCTCACGATATTTACTCAGAACAATTCCGTATCGAAAAGCTTCGGTGGGAAGCACTGAAACATCAAAGGCCGAAAGGATACATCGCACAACGGCCAGAATATGACAGGAACAGACCAGCGAGGGAAGAGCTGGAAATGATGGGCGTAGAAATCAGAGACGGATTCGATGATGATGATTTTGGGTAATGAGCTGCGGTGCGAAGCTACTTAATATAAGTTTATAAGGCCTATTTTAAACACGTTTATAGTAATACGAGTATCTAAGGTTTAGATAATAGTAGGATTAGATAATTAATTAAATAGCTGCGAGTATATATAAGATAAGTTAAATAAATAAAGAGTATACTAAATATTAATAAGTCTACTTCTAATTAATATCTCTAGTTTTTAATCTAGGGTTAGGGTTAGGGTTAGGGTTA